TATTCCCAAACTAGCCTTTTCCGCTCACAAACTACTCTTTTCACTCGCACATATCTGACTGTGAACCAACAGCAAAAGGCATCACCGTCTTTATCTGAAGGATAGCTTTTCTTGATTAAATCAAAAACAAAAACAAAAAGATGAGCAGATTCAGTAGATTCGAGCTCGTTAGCCACTCTCCTTCGTCCTACATCAAGCAGACCTCCATTCTCGGACCTCCAAGAACCATAGCGCTAAACCCTTTCTTCCCATCTTTCTCCATTGTTGAGGACGAGCTCGACTGCGCTCTCGGCCTCCTTGACCTCGCCCCAGCCTCTCCCTCCTTGTTCGACGAATTTGATACCATCACAGATCTGATCCAGATCGACGAAACCCCATTTCACACCTCCACGCGCCGCGTCACGCGCCGGTCCGGGCTGGGCGATCTGTACCTGCAGGCGCTCAGCGACCGCGTCTCGGCTCTGGAGCTGGAGCTGGAGCTGGGGCTTAGCCGGCTGGCGAGGGAGGAGAAGAGCAGGAAGAAGAAGTACACGTGGACGGCAGAGGTGAAGAGCCCGGAGAATGACCGGAAGTACCAGTGGACGGCCGAGATCAATGACGGGAAGAAAGGGCTGGAGAAGAGCTACAAATTGACGGCTGAGATCCAGAGGAAGGGTGGGGCCCGCGTCCTGCCGGTCGAGCAGAAGTACACGATAAAGGTGTCCGCTGGTGGTTCGGAGGAGAAGGCTAAGAAGGAGAAGAAGAAGAAGTGTGAGAAGGTCAAGGAGAAGGGTACGAAGAAGACATTGGGATCCAGTGCCCGCATTGTTGAGATTGAGGAGCCATCCGGTCATGGGGGGATTGTTCTGAGGCAGGTCAGTATTTTTTTCTTTCTTTTTTTTTTTTTTGGTCTAGTTTTACCTCATTAAAGTCTGGACATTCAGTTATGTTTGGTGATCCGAAACATTGACAAATTCTTCATTATGTTTTCTGTGATGTGATTCCATAATGTTTTCTGTTAACGCGGATATGATTATATTTCATTTAGATCCATGTTGTTCTAGCTTGAGTTTGAATTTGTTCTTCTATGGTTGCCCAATGCAATGGAATGTTGTATAATTCTGCTGATTTGTGAAAGTTAAAACAAAACCCAGGCCCGAGGATTGGAATTTTTTACTGTGAAGTTGGATACCTTAGATCTGCATATTAGTCGACTCTTCGAATATTCATCATTATATGTGTTCTTGTCTCAAGTTATATCCATCGGTGGTTAGCCGAATGGTTATGCGTTTGTTCGTCTTATTTACAATCTTCCATGTCTCAATTAAAATAATTTACTATCATTTTCTATCTATCTAGCCGAGTTCTATACCCTACTGATATATTATGCTTGTGACATTTGTTTACAGATACTTCCAGTAGCCTGAGCTATTTGCTATTTACTTGATATGAATTTCAGGCCTTGGAAAGAGAAAGATTTGCCTAAACTAAGGTTCATAGTCTAAAATATACTTGTATGAGAGAAAGAGAATGTGTGTTAAAGCAAATTTGCCAAGGATCACGCTAAACCACTCCCAACTAATGTGGTGTTGTTAACATTTGTGGCCTTGGTTGCAATTATAGGAGAAGAGAGTTTACACTTGCGAGAGAGATTCTAATTATTTCATGTTTTCTTCTATTTATGATCGTTTGGTCTCAGGTTTTTGCCAAGAGAGTGGATAAGAGTAAGGGTAAGAGGAAGGAGCTTTCTCCACATGATGCAGCTGTTCTTATTCAGAAGAGTTTTAGGGCTTATCTCATCCGGAGGTCTCAGGCCCTACGTTCACTTCGTGAGATGGCCATTGCCAAGACCAAGTTGAAGGAGATTAGGGGGGTTTTCCACAATTTTTCCTATCGACGCCTTCTGGCCCGTGATGCTGAAGAACGTCAGAGGTTCTCTGAGAAGATCATCGTGTTGCTCCTGACTGTTGATGCTATTGAGGTATAGAAAAGCATATAGTTATGAAATCTTTCTCCTTGAATGAAATCAATTTGCTGTGGAGAATATATTAATTTTTCTCATCCCTTTTGTCTTGTAGAGCGATGTGAATGGTACTCGTGAATGTCTCGTAATCTAACTTTGCTTTGAATATGATTGCAATGCAGTTAATGAATTATGAATTTTTGCTATTTGCAAGTGTAAAGAAACTTCAATTTTTTTTATTATTGTGGAACACTCTGTAATGATGATTTCTGGATACAGAATATTGATCAATTACGGGTGTTATCTCATTGAGTTTTGTTTCATCTAGTCCTGTTCACAGTTCACTTGTATATTATTAGTATCCAATTTTCACATATTGTTCACACTCTGACACATTTTTAAATACGAGTCAGCTCCAGTCGTTGTTTTGTTATTTTGATTTCAAATTAACTTTGATCTATACACCTATGATATCCAATCACACTCAACATTTACTATTATTCTCTTAAAAATTTTTTATCACAGTTCTCTCTAGAGAGAATCTGACAAAAGAAGTAAGGAATTACTAATATGTAATAAGGATATTCAGTTTCATCCTTACATTTTTCACAAGGTCTGTCTTCCCTATTTCTCCTAAATCTTCAAAGAGAGTAATATATAGGCCATGTTTCTGGAAGCTTCTATATGCCACTACTTGTCTTTTTACGTTTTACAACTTTTTTTCCCTCCATATTTAGGGTGCGGATCTGATGGTTCGAAGAGCAAAGAAGTCAATGGTGGATGAGCTGGAAGCAATGCTTGACGTGGTGGACCCACAGCCTCCCGGGAAATCCCTGTCCATTCGGAGGAGAACTTTCGACATGCCCGATAATGCTATCAATAAGGAACTTGCTGCTGGAGTTGCGCAGGTGGTTCAGATGCTGGATAATGAGGCAAACACCTCCGAAGCTTTCGAAGCATGCTTGTAAACTCCAGAATGGATGTGCTAGCTCTCTTACTCTCGAGGTTATTTGTCCGGTTTAAGTCACTTGTTTAAGTTACTTTTGTTCTGGGCACTTCTGTTATATGTAAACCTGAGTTTGAAGAGTCTACTTATTGTGCTTTTAGCCTTCTACTTATATTTTGCTGTCTCTTTTCGCTGCCCGGACGAGAGAGTGGTTTGATTTTCCGATCACACTCCTATGAGTGTGTGGTATGAATGTTTGTTGTGTTGTTTTGTCCGTGCTTCGTGCTTTACATGTTTGATCGAAGTTTCTTTTCTGTTGTTTATGACGTTACCATCTTTTGTTTCTTTTTTTTT